GGGGGGGGGGGGGGGGGGGGGGGGGGGGGGGGGGGTTGGAACGTTGGAGTGTGGAGCCGAGCGTCGGGCCGAAGTTAATGGGGAATAACCCTGGAGCACGTAATGAAGACCGGACCCAAATGATGGAGCGGTGGGGGGAGGGGTTTCTATGGTTGAGACGGGGGCATAATCCAGAGTGTTGTCTCGCCAGATCTATCAATGAACAGATGTTTTCCTAGTCCTCAGAAGTGTTTGTCTCCCTTAAACAAAGAATTATCGGTTTATTAAACAAGAAAAAGGAAAAGCCTGGAGCAAGCTGTTAGTTGGTCAAGAGCTAGTGAATTTGGTGTGTTTCCCACTCTACGCCATGAAAACTGCCAGATGACTGGATACCGATCAGTCTAGTGAATCAATGGAATCACTTCCATTCTACAAAAGTATTAATTCTTTTTTGCTCAAATGGCAGATGCGTGCGTTGGCGATACAACAAGTCCACGCAAATCTTCGTACTCTGCAACGTTATGAACAATTAATGAGCGGAAGAAGTGTTGAAGAACGCACCATTTTTGGGCCATACGGTGGCATAAACGTCAATTTGGAGCCATATCCTCGTTATGCTAGTCATGACGTACAAGTGATACCACATTCGTCATCCTTGCTTGGAAACAATGAGGCCCTGAAGGGTTTGACGGAACAAACAGTGGAAGTGAGGTACGCGGAATGATCATGATTTTTTAAAACCTGATTCCAAAAATGTCCATGTTTCACTTTAACTATTGTGATTGCAAGTTCTCCCACAAAATTTAACCTATGTGATATGAGAGCGGCAACGAGTTAGGTAGTACTCATAGTAACAACTCCTTTTTAGGCGTTTGTGCATATAAACAAGTACTAAAACGCATTTTGTGACGATCCATGGTATATATATATATATATATATATATAAATGCCTGCTCGGGTATTTCAAATCAGCAAACTCCGGCGCTGAAATTTTATCAGTGGGTTCCTCGGCTAAGTGCCACCCAATGACCGCGCCGACCTTCACGCGCATATGGGCCAACTGTGAGTACGTGAAAGTTTTGGCAGAGGAATCGCTAACTCGGGAACCAGAAAAGCTGGAAGGCCGAAATTTTGAGGGGGCGTTCCTCGTCCACATAAAACCTAAAGGCTTCAAATGCAGCCCGAGGCATGCGTGGTTCTCACGAACAGATATTCAAAAAGTTTCGGCTCAAAAATTAAGCATTGGTTAGCTAGTTTATTTTCAACCAGGCTAGTCGGTGCGATCATGCGTTTTTATGCGTTTTTGCCGTGCAGCGCTAGAGCGCTGCAACAGGCAGCAAA